AGTACCGATTTATTGGGTACATGGACCCTTAGGGTATGTAAGGTATGCACGTCTACGAGGTTGGAGGGGCCATGGTGCCAGAGCCCAAGTGATGTCAGAAGGGGTTGCAGAGGCCCTCATGCTTTTCTGTTGCTTCAGGGAGTTCTATGAGATTTACCGGGTCTCATCCGTGCTTCAAGTTGGTAGTTGCTGGTGGTTTCTGTGGATTCCGGAAAGGTTTGTGGCTCGTTTGCACCTTCTGAAAACGGATTCCTCACCAGAGTCCTTGCTGCGGGAAGGCCTGAAGGCGACCTGAGAACGCCGAGAACTCCCCACATGTCAAGTTCATACCCCTGGGTCCATGTTAGTATATTGTGGAGCTACAGTGTAAGCACTTTAAAGGGGATTATGTAGGGGATGATGTAAGGGAGTGTCATAAGGCTTGTTAAGGGGAAAGGTTGTTAAGGGGGATGCTAAGACTTTAGACTGTAGCTCATAAAGCTACATGGGCCTAATTAGATTCCGGTACGAGGCCGCAGGGCTTGGGTCTCAAATGCTGTCCGCTCGGTCGGACTTTCAGGGACAACAACAATCTTGCCCAAAACAAGCATGAACCCAAAACCCTACACCCCGAAAGCGGCCGTAAAGTTTCCTTTCAGACGAACATCGGCCTGCGTTGGGTCCATTTCACTTTCTCTGTTTTTCTCCAATGTTTCGCAGGGGAAGTAATTCAGAAGCCTGCGTGATTGCCAATGATTTCTTCTTTCTTTTCGCTTCGTGGCTTGGGGTTTGCAGTAAGGTGATTCGGGCCACTCCACCTCTGAAACCTTCACGAGTAAAGAAGGGACCATTGGGATTATCCTGAATACACTTCCATAAAAACGGGATCCTAACCAAACAGGGAACCTACATTATAGCCCGTTGGCAGACGGGAATCTGGGGACCTTCTCTTTTAGAGTCTATGGAACCCTAAGTGTCCAAGGATTATCAAATGATTTGGTTTTTGGGCCCACGCACTATAATCTGAAAGGTCTTCTGACCTAAAGCCCTAATATTTTGGTACTTGCACCCTCAGGGAGATTATTCAAATGGTTTTGGGCAAGTCTTCCAGGAGCCCGCAGGATGTTTACAGTTTGGACAATCTTGAAATGATATCTGGCCTCAGTGTGATTATTTATGTTGCTAGTGGAAACATGTACCCATTGGGGTAATATTAGGGCTATATAGGTTATTCTAGGGATACTGGAGAAGAAAATGGAACCTATTATAATGGGCTATTTGGGGTTTAGAGTTTACTACAATCCTTGGAGTATTCCACGCAGCTGATGGCGAGGTATCAAATGCTTTGCGGGAGGGACTTGGCTGGCACCATGGACAACTACATCTATCTTGCCGCTCGGACTTGAAGCCCCTACCGTTGACATGAAAGGTTCACCGTGAACTTGTCGAATCTGGGACTGTGCCCTGGATGCTGTTTTCCTCGCATGCCATAGCAAGCCAAGCAGGAGTGAAAAGAAATGCAATACTTCCAATGGATTGACGTTCTCACGGCCATGCAGACTTTTACTGTCAGCAGTATCAATATCAGTCCAGACATGCCTGAGTGGCGACAACTTTCAACTTGAATACGGCTTACGGAGCGCTCCCCACATAACTTCTCTAGCCATCTGAGCTACTGAGTTCCGTACTTTGCAGAAGGCATACGTTTCCTTTTCAGCTTGCTGGCTTTCCCACTGCTGGCATTTGCAAACATCAACGGCCCATGAGTCAGCTACACATACTGAAAGGTCCTAAATCAATTCATTGCACGTCTGTCCATAAGGGGTACCTAAGTTAAGAAAGGTCTGTAAGCTTCTATGTATCCCGCAACTGGTCGCAATTATGCATGATCCTACGGCATGTAGACCTGACCCCACTGAAAGCACAGAGGAGGCAACGAGGGAATGAATCACTGCAGTAGACCTTGCAGAATAGGGTTTAGGGGTTTAGAGTTTAGGGGTTGGGGTTTAGTGTTTAGGGGTTTAGGGGGTTTAGTGTTCAGGGGTTAGCGGTTTAGTGGTTTAGGGTTTGGGTTCAGCCATCCCACTACATATTGGGGGTTAGTAGGGAAGAAGGGGATATAGTATATACGAAATATATAGGGCTTATTGTCCCATATTCCTCACTAACCACCAGTAAGACTGTTCCTGCTAAGTATCAACTTAGCACCCTTCTCCTCAGAAAGATATGTGAACCTTCTGAAGCATGCCTAATGCCCTCTACCTCTGCTGTCCCTGCACTGGCTGCTTCGCCTTAAAACCTAAGCTTTGGGTACTGACCCCCCTCAGTAACAGTTGGGTAATAATTATAATGTGGTTATATATAGCCCTTAATAGGACCCCTAATATAGACTGTTACTGGGGGGGGGCAGTACCCAACCTAAGCTCCCAACCCCAAACCTCATGACCCCAAACCTTGAATTTGAACCGCATCACATGCGGGTGGTCAGTAGGGAATGAAGGAGTACGATCCCTATATAAGCCCTACATGGTATGTTCCCTTATACCCTACTAACAAGCAGTAAGATCAAAGTGGCTTGATGTCAAATTGTTGCCTTCGCAGCTCCTGTCTCAGTCACTTTGCTTAGTGCAGGTGGGCCAAGCTTCACTCTCTGAAGCTCATACGGTTCAAGGTTCAGGATGTAGAGGGGCTAGGCTAACAACCCGAGGCTCTTAGACAGTGGGTTTAGTTCAGGTTTGTGCGAGGCATGTGAAGAAAGATCCAACAGATTGGATGAGGGGCCCTCGAGAACTAGTTCATGAAGACCTCTCGCCCTTCTTAAAGTATTCACGCAACTTCTTCCACATGGCGCTGAGCTACAATGGGCATTGACAGAACAGGCCTGTCTGTCATACTAGCTGCGGCGCGCTTGCAACGCCGCGGCCCTGAGAGTGTTCAAATATGCGAGCTCGGCAATCAGCAGCTAGGTTGAGCCGTGGGATGTCTCTCTTTGTTTTCAAAAATCTTCAGACGTGTATTTGTACATATGCTTCTAGATGCATATCTCTCTGCCACCGTGTGGGCACAGGTTCACTTCTTTTCCGATTGTAAACATCAAGCCAGGCAAGTGACAAAAGCAACCATGAGCGTCCTTCTGGAACACGGTTACAAACCTGACTACTACGATCTTTGGCGCGTCTTGCATAGTGTGTCTATAAGTCACTGGTCTGCGCTAGCCAGTGGGAAAAAGGTCTTTGAAGGTATGGGCTTCAGGCACATCAGCTTGGACATCAACGGAGAAGACGGTGCGATATCGCTGGACTTGTCTCGGCCTTTGAATGCCTCTTTACTTTACTTGCAAGGGAAGTGCGATATCGTCACAAATTTCGGTACCACAGAACATGTTGGAGAAAGTGAATATCTGGAGGAGCACGAGAGGCTTAACAGAATGGACGTCTGGACTTCTCAGTACCACGCCTTCAGAAACATTCATAGTCTTGCACGCAATGATGGTGGTATCATCATTAACATGGTGCCGGCTGCTGGATGCTGGCCACTGCATGGTGCTGTAGAATATGAGCCACGATTCTTTCATGCTCTGGCGCAGATGGCCCGATATGACGTGCGAAACCTCTCTCTGCACCGCCCAGATCATGATTGGTCCGCGCAAGAGGAGCAATTGTTTTGGAAGCTCCTGAGAGAGGCTCTTGCGAAACATTCTCTGCAGCTCCCTGACTACGTCAATCCGGATGAACTTCCAGCACGGCGACATCAGGATAAGGAAGAGCAGGCCAATGTCTTGTCCATTTTCGTACGAAGGGGACCTCATCTTTTCCCAGATGTCGGCAAGTTCCTGCAATCCCCGGGCCTCCACATCAAACGGAAGCTGGATCGTGGTTTGCATGCTTTCCGGTTTCCATTTTTGCTTCATGAAAGAGCTTGTGCCCCGTAGGCAACATCTCAACAAGTCGGCTTCTATGAAACTGAGAACGTTTGTGCTGCTCATTTTCCTACTACATGTGGAGACTTGATTTTTGGATGCTACCCCCAAGTCCTACATGCTACACCCACAGCTCTTAATGCATTGTCAGCACTGGATCCTACCTACATACGCGCACAGGAGAGCCGATGACGAGCTGGAAGATTTCGAGAGCTGCTTGAATTCTCCCAGAATGAAGGTGCCTGACTGCTATGCAGAGATGGCAGAGACTGGCAAGTGCGACATCTTGCGCCGGAGAAGAGACTTGAAAAAGGATTAGGTTAAGGATTATCATGGATTATCGATCAGCCTTGTTTAGGATATATGGGGCTTCTGAAAAATTGGGGGTCCCGTTCTTGGGGTTTCCACAATGAAGATTATGGTGTTTTGGGGTGTGCATTGGTGCCCTTGTTAGGGAAACTTCCATATACTTCTTTTACCAGAGCTTTTATAAACCCTAACCCATGTAACGGGCTATCTAGGGACTACTGTGAGAATCCATGCCTTCATTCCTAAACCCTGAACCCTGATACTATAAGAATCCATTCCTTCATTCCTAGCTAACCAAAGGCAAGAAGTAGGATTGGGGCTTGTCGGGTCTCAGCTCAGTAGCTGCGCGGTAACCTTTAGATTTTGCGAACTAGTGTGCCTGCAGCGGTCTGAGCAAAAGGATCTTCAAGGGGTGCGGCAAGAAAGGCAGACAGCCTGCAATTACTGCTGAGAATCTGGATCTGGCTCGAGTTGAAAAACCTTCAACAAGTTCTACGGGATATAACATAGGGTTATATAGGGGCTATATAGGGATAATGGAAAACAAAATGGAAACTACCATACAAAATGGACATTATTATATGGGGTTGTATCTAGGAAGAACTTTCTGGTCATTGTAGATTTAGTTCATCGACTGCATCGTGGTCATGCGTGCAGGTTACCGCGCTAGCCGGGCATTGTTTCAACAAGTTCTAGTCGGACTGGCAGTCTCTCGATAAGTGTGTAGTTATGTTGGGAAACATATGAGTCATGCGCTTATGCGCTCTGGGAGATGATCATCCTTACTTGACTAAACCTGGAGCCCCGCCGACCCTACTGAAATGTTGCATATCCTGCCCGCATCTTATCTACCCCTCCTCCTCCTCCTCCTCCTCCTCCCTACCCGGTTCAGGGTTTAGGGTACGAGCCCTGAACCCTAAATCCACCCCCGAAAGCCTGATGAGCCTCCAAGGTCGTGAACACGCACAGCCGGACGGCGATTGCAGTGGACGCGGCCTGGGACATCGACGGCATCTTTCGCTTTGCAGATTCCTTGCAGGCTTGGTGCAGATTCGGGTTTGGGGATGAATTTCCACTTAGACCAGTAGGGAAACAAGAGCCTAAAACCAAGAGAACACTTTTTTAAATGATAGTCTGAAGGGCCATTAGTCTAGATCCTTTGAGTTTAATACAAGAGTTCAAGATCTAGGGTTCAGTGTTTTAAGGTCTAGCACCGTCAGAGGTTCAGAGTTTCAGTTGAGTGTGGGGGGTGTGGCTTTTGAGGGTTTAGGTTAGAAGCTTTCAGGGGTTGTTTAGATTCTATGTTGTCAGGATGTGTGTCCGATGGTTTCCTAGCTTCTGCCAACGTTCATCAGCTCTTGTTGCACAAGCACGATATGGTGCTTTGTACGGATGATCGAGGTTTGCCGGGGATGTGCTGGGCTGCACGGTGACCTTGCTGCGCTCCACTTCTCGTGCAGCAGGGCTACAGGCTTTGCTATTCAAAAAGCAACGCACCACGGAAGGCATGGATTTGAAGGGATTCGTCGTCACCTTTTGGCAGGTTTGGGTTCTGCAATCGGGGGATCTACTGTAATTTGGGAACATTCAGATCGCGCGAGGTCCCCGCTCCAGTAGTAGTGGTTTAGTAGGAAAATAGGGCCATACTTATCAGCATCGCGTGTGGCCTTTGTCAGTGGGTAGGGGCCTAAACCCTAATCTCTAAACCCTCAACCCTACTTAGGCCGTAAACTTTAAACCCTGCACTCTAGGCCTTAAACCCTAAACCCCATATCCTAAACCATCCTAAACCGTAAATCCTATAGTAGTTTCATTTTCTTTTCCATTCTTACTATCCCTATTACCTTCTCCTTCATCATCGTTTTAGTTCTGGCCGTCGAAGCAGGGCTTCGCTAAGGATGATTCCGACATTGCATGTGAAGGACTGGGCCCTAAGCCCTCAACGTAGCTTTCATTCTCTTATGCATCATGATTACCATCAGTTACTACTAAGACTAGGATTATTACTACTACTACTACTACTACTACTACTAGTACTAGTACTAGTACTAGTACAACTACTACTACTACTACTGCTACTATGGTAAGCTTTGTGTTGCTATCTCTCGCCTCGGCTGGCTCAAGCCCAGTGGTTTGCACCTTAGCCATCATGAGCGCAGTACAGGAGACCGGGGTTGCGGGGTTCAAGAGTACTGGGTGATTCCCAACATTAGGAGATGCCTTTTGGGGTGCCTCTATACTAAGCGCACTAAGGATTACAGGGTTTTGGGGTTTGTATTGCGCTGTCCCTATTCAAGGTAATTACCCTTCAGGGATTCAGTCAGGGCAGCTTCCTAAGGCCTTCAAGTGGGACGCAAAACATTTTCAATGCTAATGAGGGCCTTGGATTGGAGTGCTCCATCAGATAGTTGTGCCAGAGGACGAGTGAAGTTCTGCAGTTGGGACTTGCCAGTTTGTCTGGCTGAGCAGAAACTATTCTTGAACAACTTCGAGGAGCTGCTTGTTCCTGTCGAAAATGCCAAAGAATCAAAGAATGTAGATACTACGAGCTAAAGTCTGAACTCCTAGTATCCCCCCGCCATTCAGCCCTATAATAGGAACCCTATTTAACCCCTAGATAGCCCCCTTTAAAGTTTGGACTATACCTCATATGGCAAGCCCCCAATGCAAGCAGTCCTCGTTCTTCAGGTTTATCTACCAGGAGGATGAGGATTGAAACTGGCCACGCGCGTTGTAACCAACCCAACACATAAAGTCCATATACACCTACGGATTCTCTCTCTATATGTATACACATGTAAATATATACATACATATAAATTATAGATCTTTCTCTCTAATCTATCTATCTATCCATCTATCTCTCTATATATATATATATGGCCATATATATATATATATGCGTCTGTTTGCGTGGCCGCATCTGAAAACCATAAGTGTGTACATAGGTTTGCCTAGTGGAGCCTCGGAGGACGGTCCCACGGGGCCTCTGCTGGGCGGCGAGCCCAAAGAGAAGGCTGGCAAACGGCTCAGGGGTTCAGGCTTTTCTGGGTTGCTGTTATATAGGGATAAAGAAAAATGGAAACTACTACCTTAAAATGGGGTATCTACTGGAGTTATAGCAGTGGGAATAATGGTTGCTGTCAAGGAACATAAATTAAGTTACCCTAGTATGGGTATATAGTAAACGTTAATGGGAAGAGGTTCTCGCCTTGCTGTTGTGTAGATCCCAGTGCAGACCTTGAACTTGGCCGCGTAAAGTGGTTTAGGGGTTTAGGGTTAGGGGGACTTGAGGTTTAGGGTTTTCATCTTGGTTGTCGTGGTGATAGTTGATTGTCTTTGGCTTGCTGAGGGTGTGCTGGGCAGGCGGAGAACTCTTCCATCAGGATTTCCATGGGACCTAAACCCTACACCCTCGCAAGATGGCCTATGGGACAGCCAAGATGCTAACCACGGGCCCCTAACATGGGGGTCCTACTAAGTAAGTATGGGCTCTTATTGGGTTTGTAGGGTTTTGTAGGGTACATAAATGGGTGTACAAGGACGCCAGGATTCGGGGCCATACTAGGCGACTATTGTTCCAACCTTGGGATTACATCTACCGTCTAAAGTTGGAAATATGGGCCTCTACTAGGCTTTAGGGTTTATGGTTGTTAGCCCTGGGGTCCTTAGAAACTATCTAACGTATAAGACCCTAAAAAGCCAATTCAGGGCGCCATTTAGGACCCAGCAAACAGGCAAGGGCCCATGTTAGAGGCCCATGATTAGATACCCTAAACTCCTAAACCCTGAATCCCTAACCTTAACCCTAAACCCCTACACCCTAAACCCCATTTAGCAGAGATGCATGTGTCTACTGGCCATTTTCATACGCAAAGCCTGGGCTTGTTATTTGACAGAAAGCTCCAAGCCTTAAACTGCAACACTTCAACCAGTCTCGACCGTGGCTTGTTTGGGGTTTAGGATTTTAGAATTTAGGGTTTAAGGTTTTAGGGTTTAGGATTTAGGGTTTAGCGTTCGAAGCCCTAGGCTCTGAAACTTAAACCCTAATTCACAAGGTTCGTGTTTTTCATTTATTTAGGACCCTGACCAACCCCTTGCATCACTATCACACAGCACTCAAGCTAGGGCATTCTCGGGAATGGTTTTTCAATGTTTTGGACCACATTCCCTACATATTTTGTACAGAGCCATCAAACAAGTAATCTTCACAGGGCCCCTAAATCCTAAACCCCATACAGTAACCATAGCCCCTAAATCCTAAATCTATCGCAGGAAGGGCACCACATCCTGCCTAAAACCCTGAATCCCATACCCCTAGACCCTAAACCCATAAAACCCTAAACCCCAAACCGTAAACCCCTAAACCTTAACCCCTACACCCTTATAGGCCCCAAAACCCATAGGCCTTGCAGAAAGCCCATGGCCACCTCACTCGGAGATGTACGAAGTCTCTGGAGAGTTTCTTGGATGTTTTGGGATTGGGTTTTAGGTTTTGGGTCTCCCCTGATGTTAAACCCCTCACACCCCCCTAATGTAAAATACTCCCCACTGTGGTATATCATAATTTGGGGTGGGGGAGTTTACGTAATACTAGCGGGAGGGGATTACTGGGGATTTGAAAAAGAGTGGGGTTCCCTTAAAGGGTTAGATAAGGGTTGGATAGGGGTTATATAGGGGTATCGATAGGAGTATGTAGGGTTCAGGGTTCAGGGTTTCCCAAAATTAGGGGTACCATCTGGGGGTTCCAACAACGAGGAATAATGTTGGACCTATATTGCGGTCCCCCTATGTAGGGAAACTACCTAATGGGGATTATTTTGGGGTTATCTAGGGGCTATAGGAAGATTATCACCAAAATCTGGAGAATCAGATGAACAAATGGACAATGAAATGGAAACTGGGGTTACGTAAGAGTTGATGGGAGTTGGGGGTTTCCAAGATCATGGGTGCCTCTTGAACCTCATATGGGATACCTAATGTGCATTGGGGTCTACATCGGGGTCCCTC